TGATGGAATTGAACCAAACTTGGCACACAGAACTCCCATGATCAAAAGATAATACTGGAAGGGTTTAGTGAGCATTGACCTTGAGTTTTGGAGTTGTAGTTCACCTACATCCAGAGTGCACTACCAACTCAAAAAACGATGGATCTCGATGAAACTTGGCAGGGATACTCATTATGCCCAAATGTGAACACTGGGAAAATAGACCTTGACATTTGGGAGTTGGGGTGAGGCAGCATAACTTCCTTTTTAAAAACTTAATAAAACCCATTTTATGAATCAGATTTTTTTTATAATGTAGATGCATACCTAAAGTTTTACATAGTTTTGAGGATCAAATTAGGTAGGTGACGTCCCCCATTCTCCATACACTGAGTAAACCGATTTCTGGCGTTTGTCATGACTCTTGCCAGCATAGCAGGCGTCGTGTTGGCAATTTCTTCCTGGATGTTGGTCTTCAAATTTTGTAGGGTCCTTGGAGGGTTTACATAAACACAGGATTTCAAAAAACCCCATAGAAAAAAATCACAAGGGGCCAAATCTGGAGAGTGGGCCGGCCACTCCAAATCCACTCGAAAAGTAGGCCTCAATGGCAAAACCACGCTCCTCACTGTTCCAATAAATGATGGCGACTGAACTGTGTCAGGACAAAACTTTATACTCCCGCCTCTCGAATGAGACCACTAGCACTCCGCTATGTCTTCAACTGACTGAATGGCGCTCATTTTTAAAAAGGAAGTTATGCTGCCTCACCCTGTAGTTGCTGGGATTTATAGTTCACCTATAATCAAAGAGCATTCTGAACCCCACCAATGATAGAATTGGGCCAAACTCCCCTCACAGAACTCTCATGGCCAACTGAAAATACTGTGTTTTCTGATGATATTGGTGATGCCTCTGATACCCCCTCGTGTCCCCCCCAGGGGTCCCAACTCCCAGGTTGAAAAACACTGGTCTAGACAAGCTTTCAGTCTGATTCAGCCTGGCCCTTCTCATATTTTTGAAATCCATGAGAGAAATTCCAAGTCTAAACTTGGGATCCTGTACTCACTTAAGAGTAAACCCCCATCTTGAGCACTTTTATTTATTTCTCAGCCAAAAATGCACAGGATCCAGTTCTAAGCACAGCCAAAAAAGCAGCATAAGTTGCTTATGAAGCTTGTTTCTCGCCTCTCTTGGATGGGTGCACTGTTTCCAATACAGAAGGAACGTTTGCTTTGTCATTCAGGACCAGTGCTGTCCAATGTATTTGGAAGCTGAACCACAGAGAAATCTGCAATAATTATTGCAGAGCTCGTCGGTAATGGCAACCTGAAATCTGATACTGACTCCTAACAGTGACCATGATGGAATCAGAAATACCCTTGCTTCAAAAAGTCTAATTACTGTATATACTTGAATATAAGCCTAGTTTTTCAGTCCTTTTTTTAGGCTGAAAAAGTCTCCTTCAGCTTATACTTGAGTCAAGGTTTTTTTAAAAAATTATTTTACTCTATTATTATTATTATTATTATTATTATTATTACATTAATCATTTTACTCTATTATAATTACATGTATTGTATTGTCGAAGGCTTTCATGGCTGGAATCACTAGGTTCTTGTGGGTTTTTTCGGGCTATAGAGCCATGTTCTAGAGGCATTTCTCCTGACGTTTCGCCTGCATCTATGGCAAGCATCCTCAGAGGTTGAGAAGGTCAACCTCTGAGGATGCTTGCCATAGATGCAGGCGAAACGTCAGGAGAAATGCCTCTAGAACATGGCTCTATAGCCCGAAAAAACCCACAAGAACCTAATTACATGTATTATTTTACTCTGTATTATTACATTTATTATGTTACTCTATTATTATTGGAAGGATATGTAAACACATTTACACTGAAGAAGGTTAAAATAATGCTTTGATCAGAGGACAGTCTTATCTTATTTATTCAAAAACATTTTTCTCTCCGAAAAATCCTATCCTAGTTATATTTTATCTTGTTCACGTCAGTATATTTTCAATTTTAATCTATTACTTTTGGCCCGGCCATTTTTAAAATTATTTATGCTACAATTGTTTTTTGTTTATGTGATTTATATGATTTGTATTTTATTGATTGTTTATTGATGTTGTGTTTATTGATGTTTTGTTTGATGTACTTTGGACTTGGTCTCATGTAAGCCACACCGAGTCCCTTTATTGTTATTGTTGTTGTTATTATTATTATTATTATTATTATTATTATTATTATTATTATTATTTAACCTACCCATGCTTCGATTAATGCAATTTTATTGGTATCTATTTTTATTCTGGAATGTACCAGTAGCTGCTGCATTTCCCATCCTCGGCTTATACTCGAGTCAATCCATTTTCCCAGTTTTTTTGTGGTAAAATTAGGCGTCTCGGCTTATATTCGGGTCGGCTTATACTCGAGTATATACGGTATGTTCCCAAAAAATTTCATACAGGCTTGTCCAAACTTCCTACCCTTCCTTTGCAACAAAAAAAAAATCCCCAGCTCTTTCATCACAACTGAGGGGAAACAAAGGAGGAAGCTCACAACATAAGAAGCTGTGGGTTTTGTGTGTTATTATTACAACACATTACTTTCCAGATACTCTGACTGCATGTCGGTTCGCAGAAGGAATTTGAAACAACTTCTCTCTTCTCCCTGCAATTAGTCCTCAAAATATAAAATATAAACCCATCTGTATTTAACTTGCAAAGACACTGTTTGGAAAATACTGTCTGGTAGTGTATAAAGAAGGAACATCTCACAACTCAGAGACAGCAAGTGAAAAATCTCCGAGGAAAAGATACCCGTGAGAGGAGCAGACAAGGTCTTGTGATCTTGAGGAAGAAAAGGCCAAGGGAACACAGGAAATCCAGTTTTCTCTGATCTTGAACAAAACCTCATCTGCAACCTTTCAGGCACAGACGTGCAGCACGCACAGAGGGACCAAACGACAGTTCCAGGATGTGCCACGGTCTTGTGGCAGACTGGGTAACAGCCTCTGAATATCTTCTTATAGGGAAAATGAACTTCTCGCACATATAGGCAGACATTACCTATTAAACCAGCAGCCTATAAATTGGAATGGGAGGTGCTCCTTCCCACAACCTTTGCAATGTTTTTGAACAAATCAAAACCTGACTGAATGGCTTGTTTTGTCCTTTCTCCATATTTCAGACAGGCTGGCAGATTGCCAATCCCCCCCCCCCCCCAAAAGTGATCTGTGGGTTGCTGTGAGTTTTCCAGGGTGTCTGGCATTCTCTCCTGACGTTTCACCCACATCTATGGCAGGCATCCTCAGGTCTGTTGGAAACTAGGTAAGTGAGGTTTATATATCTGTGGAATAATGTCCAGGGTGGGAGAAAGAACTCTTGTCTGCTTGAGGCAAGTGTGAATGTTGCCATTGGCCACCTTGATTAGGACTGAATGGCCTTGCAGCTTCAAAACCTGGCTGGTTGTCACCTGGGGGAATTCTTTGTTGGGAGATAGTAGCTGGTCCTTATTGATTCATGTCTGAATCAAGGTGGCCATTTGCAACAATCACACTTGCCTCAAACAGACGAGGTATTTAATTCCACGATGGACATTATTACACTTGCCTAGTTTCCAATACACCTCACAACCTCTGAGGATGCCTGCCATAGATGCAAACAAAACGTCAGGAGATGCTTCTGGAACGTGATCAGTCAGCCATAGGCGGTCTCCCTAGTCTGAACTTCCTAGTCTGAACTTGGGCCTGCCCTGCTAAGTGCCCATTGGCAGTCTCCCATCCAAGTACAAACCTAGGGCGTCCCTGCTTACTGCCCATTGGTGGTAACCCAGCAACCCAGTGATTCCGGCCATGAAAGCCTTCCACAACACAAAGTGATCTGTGTACAAGTATGGGATTAAATCTACCTTCCAGATAGAGGAGAGGGGAAGATGGCTTGGTGATGGGCATATGCTTCTGGCCAATCAGGAGTAGAATCAGGCCTGGGCCAACTTGGGCCCTCCCTCCAGGGGTTTTGGACTTCAACTCCCACAGCCTCAGACCTTTTCCTTTCCCCCAGGCAGCAACCAGCCAGGCTTTGAAGCTATAAGGCCTTTGTAAATGCTAATTAAGCTGGCCATTTGCAACATTCACACATTCCTCAAGCAGACAAGAGTTCTTTCTCCCACCCTGGAATGATTCCACAGATATATAAGCGGCTGAAGAAGAAAAGGAAGGGGCCTGAGGCAGTTAGGAATGATGGGAGTTGGAGTCCAAAACATCTAGAGTGAGGGCCGAAGTTGGCCCAGGCCTGGCGTTGATAAAATTGAAAGAGGGGTGGGATCCTTGCTTTTCCCATAAGGAGAAATATAATTCCTTCCTTCCTTCTATTCCCTTCCTTCCTTCTCCTTTCTTCCTCCCTCCCATTCCCTCCCTCCCTTCTCCTTTCTTCCTTCTTTCCTATCCATTTCCTTCCTTCCTTTTCCTTCCTTCCCTTCCTCTTCTTTCCTTCCAGTCCCTTCCTTCCTTCCTTTCTCTTCCCTCCTTCCTTTCCCTTTCTTCCTTCCTTTCTCTCTCTTTTTTCCTCTCTCCCTCCCATTCCCTTCCTTCCTTCTCCTTTCTTCTTTCCTTCCTATCCATTTCCTTCCTTTTCCTTCCTTCCCTTCCTCTTCTTTCCTTCCAGGCCCTTCCTTCCTTCCTTCCTCTTCCCTCCTTCTTTTCCCTTTCTTTCTTCCTTCCTTTCTCTTTCTTCCTCCCTCCCTCCCTTCCCTTCCTTCCTTCTCCTTTCTTCCTTCTTTCCTTCCTTCCTTCTTCCTTCCTTCCTCTTCTTTCCTTCCAGGCCCTTCCTTCCTTTCTCTTCCCTTCTTCCTTTCCCTTTCTTCCTTCCTTCCTCTTTCTTTCTTTCTTTCTTTCTTTCTTTCTTTCTTTCTTTCTTTCTTTCTTTCTTTCTTTCTTTCTTTCTCTTTCCCTCCCATTCCCTTCCTCCCTTCTCGTTTCTTCCTTCTTTCCTTTTTCTTCCATTCCCTTCCTTTCCTTCCTTCCCTTCCATTCTCTCCCTCCCTTCCTCTTCCTTTCCCTTCCTTCCTTTCCCTCCCTCCCTCCCTTGGGACTCAGATGAAGTGTATCCAGGCGTCGGGCTCGTTCCCACTGGCGGCGGGGGTCCTCTGCCTCCCTCGCATCCGGTAGTTCTTCCCGCCGTTGTTGTCCCAGAACTCGGCCCCGTTCACGCGGTACCGGAGCGCGAACTCCAGCTGCGTGGTGCCGGGCCCCACGGGCAGGAGGAAGGCGAAGCGGTCGGTGGTCCCATCGGAGGATGCGGAGGAGGAAGAAGAAGGGGCCTGGAAGGTGGCCGTGACCTCGCTGCAGCTGGCCCAGCGGTTGAGCGTGTACCGGACCGACACGGCCTTCTCGTAGGCCAGGTTGAGGACCCGCACGGACCCGCGCAGCCCGCCGGCTTCGGCCCGCACCCACTCCAGCCGCACTTTGCCCTGCTTGACGCGCTCCGCGAAGCCCGCGCTGGAGCCTGGCGCCGGGGGGAAGAGCGGCTCGAGGATAGGCGCCGGGGGCCCGAAAAGGACGGGCTCCAAGTCCCCCAGCGTGGGAGGCTTCCTCGTTTTGAACAAGTCCGAGGGGGAGAAGAAGGGGAAAGGGGAGGCGGGGAGGGGCGGCGGGGAAGGCACGCGGGGCACGTCCTGCTGGGAGAAGTGCCGCACGGAGGTCAGCTCCAGCCCCAGCGCGTCGGCGAAGCGGACCGTCTTCCTCCGCGAGGGGCTTTGCTGCTGCAGGGCCGGGCGCAGGCTGCGATTCCCGGGCGTGGGTAAGGACTTGGCGCGGCGGCGGAGGGTCGGGCTCGGCGGCACCAGCGGCAGCGTGGGCTCCCTCCCGCGGGACGGAGAGGGCGAGGACGGCGGGGAAGGGGAGCGCGGGGGAGGCGGCGGCGGCGGCGAGGACTCTTTCTCGGGCTCTTCCTCCTCTTCGTCGTTGGGCAGGGCTTCCAAGGGCTCGGGCTCCGGGCTGCACCCGCCCTTGCATCGCGACCCCAGCCCCCCATACAGGCAGGCGCTGCAGCTGAAGTGCCGCGGGAGGTAGAGGCGCGGCGGAGGCGTGGGCACCGAGGCGTGGAGAGAGCCGGCCTTCTCCATGGCTGCTCTCGGGTCGGGCTCTTCCTTCCTCAGCGCATGGCCTTCCCAGAAGAGGCTTGGGATCACTTTAGCCGCTCTCCATCCCTGGGGAGTCCGACAAGTCCTTTCCTTTCCTTTCCCTCCCTTTGCTGCTTTCAGCTGCTCCTGGGATCACTTTAGCCGCTCTCCATCCCTGGGGAGTCCGACAAGTCCTTTCCTTTCCCTTCCTTTCCTGCTTTCAGCTGCTTCTCTTCTTGCGCCCCACTGACGCGCCGGAGTCGTGTCGCAAAAGCGACGCACCTCCGCCCCTCGCTTTTCCCTCCTCCCTCCGCCCACTCCCTTCGCCTCCTCCTCCTCCTCCTCCTCCTCCTCCTCCTCCTCCTCCTCCAATGTGGGACGCTTCTCCCACCCATCCTTTCCCTTCCTCTCGCTTCTAAGGACGTGCTCCAAGCCGGGAAGGAGGGAGGGAGGGATTCCCCCGAAGACGACGCTTCTCTGACGCCGCCATCGCCATCCTTTCCTCTCTCTCTCTGCTCCAGAAATAGCCGCCTCGCAGAGATCAGGGCGGCCAAGTCTAGCTGGCGAGGGCTCGCCTTTCCACGCAGGAAATCCTCCTTTTAATCCCCTCTCTCGGGCATTTGTAACTCTGCAGACACGCTCGAGTCGTCAGAATCGCTCAGGCACAGTCCAAAGGTATCCCAATCGACAAGACAACACGAAGACAAATAAAACAAAGGCACGACTGGATTCCTTTTTGAAAAGGATGTGCATGATGCCCTTAATTTGCAATCCATCAGACATGCTCAGACCATTAGAATTGCTCAGGCACCATCCAGGACCAAAGGTATCTCAATCGACAAGACAACACAAAGACAAATAAAACCAAGGCACGATTGGGTTCATTTTTGAAAAGGATGTGCATGATGCCCTTAATTTGCAACGCATCAGACATGCTCAGACCATCAGAATCGCTCAGGCACAATCCAGAAGCAAAGACATCCCCATCGACAAGACCACACAAACCGAGACACTGACTGGGTTCCTTTTCAAAAAGGATGTGCATAATGCCCTTGCTCTGATGCATGATGCCCTTAATTTGCAACCCATCAGACATGCTCAGACCATCAGAATCACTCAGGCACAGTCCAGGACCAAAGGTATCCCAGTCGACAAGACAACATAAAGACAAAACAAAGGCACGAGTGGGTTCCTTTTCGAAAAGGATGTATATGATGCCCTTACTTTGATGCATGATGTCCTCAATTTGCAAAATATCAGACACACTTGGACCATCAGAATCGCTCAGGCACAGTCCAATACCAGATGTATCCAATGGACAAGACAACACAAAGACTAATAAAATGAAGGCACAACTGGGTTCCTTTTCAAAAAAAGATGTGCATTATGCCCTTACTTTGATGCATGATGCCCTCAATTTGCAACCCATCAGACATGCTCAGACCATGAGAATCACTCAGGCACAGTCCATTACCAAAGGTATCCAATGAATAAGACAACAAGAAGACAAATAAAACCAAGGCATGACTGGGTTCCTTTTTTGAAAAGGATGTGTATGATGCCCTTACTGTTGCACTCCAGAACAGGAAAAGCCCTCTAATTGTGAACACCATACCATTGATTGGAAAACAATCCTTTTACTGAAGTTTTTTTTTTAAAAAAAAAGCAAAGTAAAAAAGCACTTTAAAGGAATAGGTAAATTGAATTAGGTAAGAAGATAAGCAGGAGCAAAAGTAGTCCAGGATATAGTTCAGCAAAGTCCATAAAAGCAAAGTCCAGACTTCATTAATATAATTCAGAAAACCAGGAAACATTAATCCAAGGCATGCACAGGCATTCATACAATCCAAGAATCCAAACCATGAAACAAGAAATACTTAGACAAGAATCTTCCCAGCAAGGCTTCCATGAGACAAGGACACAAACTACACTTGATTCTAAATGATGCTTCATCTGACTATATTTCCCATACTTGGACCTTTTATCCCCTTGTTAATGTCCCCTTCAGGGACATTCTCATAGGAAACTACACTTTGCACAGGGATCTCCTGGTCCTTCTCTGCATAAGTATCATTGACCAAACCATTGCCATCATGAAATTCATTGGCATCACTCCCACATCCAAAGCACCCTGATCCTGAAACACAATCACAGGCTGAACTCCAACACTGATGCGTGATGTCCTTAATTTGCAACCCATCAGACATGCTCAAACCATCAGAATCGCTCAGGCACATTCCAGAACCGAAGGTATCACAATTAACAAAACCACACGAAGACAAACAAACCGAGACACAACTGGGTTCCTTTTCAAAAAGGATGTGCATGATGCCCTTACTTTGATGTATGATGCCCTAAATTTGCAACCTATCAGACATGCTCGGACCATCAGAATCACTCAGGAACAGTCCAGGACCAAAGGTATCAAATGGACATGACAACACAAAGACAAATAAAACCAAGGCACGACTGGGTTCCTTTTTAAAAAGGATGTGCATGATGCCCTTAATTTGCAACCCATCAGACACGCTTGGACCATCAGAATTGCTCAGGCACTGTCCAGGACCAAAGGTATCCAGTTGACAAGACAACAAAAGACAAACTAACTGAGGCATGGACTGGGTTCCTTTTTGAAAAGGATGTGCATGACGCCAGGTCAACATGAGGATGAAGAAATCAAAGGCACAGAAGCAGAAGAAATTTGTCCACCCGCCTTATTCTTTCTCTTTCATTTTGATGGCTCCATTTGTAAAATGTGTACATAGCTAATCGTATCTTGTGTACAGTTACGTTCACACCAGACATTCAGTGTAGACTAGGCATGGGCAAACTTGGATCCTCCTGGTGTTTTCATAGAATCATAAAGTTGGAAGAGACCTCATGGGCCATCCAGTCCAACCCCCTTCCAGGGAGCAGGAAAATTGCATTCAACGCACGCCCGACAGATAGCCATTCAGCCTCTGTTTAAAAGCCTCCAAAGAAGGAGCATACACCACTGTTCCACTGCTGAACAGCTCTCACAGTCAGGAAGTTCTTCCTAATGTTCAGATGGCATCTCCTTTCTTGTAGTTTGAAGCCATTGTTCCGCGTCCTAGTCTCCAGGGCAGCAGAAAACAAGCTTGCTACCTCCTCCCTATGATTTTCCCTCACATACTTATACATGGCTATCATGTATCCTCTCAGCCTTCTCTTCTTCAAGCTAAACATGCTCAGCTCTTTAAGCCGCTCCTCATAGGGCTTGTTCTCCAGACCCCTGATCATTTTAGTCACCCTCCTCTGGACACATTCCAGCTTGTCAATATCTCTCTTCAATTGTAATGCCCAGAATTGGACACAGTATTCCAGGTGTGGTCTAACCAAGGCAGAATAGAGGGGTAGCATTACTTCCCTGGATCTAGACACTATGCTCCAATTGATGCAGGCCAAAATCCCATTGGCTTTTTTTTGCTGCTGCATCACATTGTTGGCTCATGTTTAACTTGCTGTCCACGAGGACTCCTCAATAGCAATCTTGATCTTTTTCACAGGTACTGCTATTAAGTCAGGCATCGTCCCCCATTCTGTATCTTTGCATTTCATTTTTTTCTGCCTAAGTGGAGTATCTTGCATTTGTCCCTGTTGAACTTCATTTTGTTAGTTTTGGCCCATCTCCAATCTGTTGAGATCGTTTGAATTCTACATTGGACTAGCTTTGGACTTCAGCTCCAAACATTTTTCAAAAGGTTGTCACTTCTATCAAGGCCATGCCTTTCCAAAAATCCTAAAATCTCCAACAGGTTATGGAGATTTCTATTTTCCAAAAGACACTATTCCAAATATCCTTGGACTGCAATTGCCATCAGGTCTCACTAGGATAACGCAAGGGAGGATTTATGCTGGGAGTATATAGATTGATAGATTCGGCCTAGGAAGCCATGACCTTGAATTGGCATGGGCTGATCAGAAATACTTGGATGCCACTAATTCACAGACTTAATCCATTAATACTGGATACATTTCCTTTCCCCCTCACATCCATTCTCCCATGTGCATGCATGCACACATGCACATAGGGAAGATCTACTCCAGATGATAAGGGATTCATTAGCTGTAATAGAAGGTTCAAAAGGTTTATGCGCCAGTTGTACCAGTGACAATCTACACATGTAATTAGGTTAAGACCCAAACAATTTCCTTGTGTAATAAATAACAACAGAAATTGGTTTGCTTCTGTGGATGAAATGTTACACTCTACTCCAGCTTAGTACAAAGTGAAAGAGACATGAATCATAATGAAGTATAATAAATCATACAACTGAGCTCCCTTCACTGATTCTGAGAGACATTTGTTTCCCTGGTGCTTTTTCTGTTTTACTGTCACTTGGATAACTCAAGAACACTTTAAACCCCAGCTATGATGTTTTGGAGCTCTTTGTGGACAAGTATACAGAAAAGTGTAGTCAAAACCAGCTTTCTGTAGTGTTCAAGATAGCACTTTGCATAGTGTAGAAATAAATTCCAGTTTTAGGGATCGTGCAAAACATTAGAAGCAAAATGGTGCATCTCCTGATGTATCACAGACAGCTATTTTCATTCTCAAAATGCTTTCTTGTCCTTAACTTAGATTTTGACAACAGTGTTTCTCTTCTTTGTGGAGTAGGCCTTTCGAAGAATAGGTCCATGCTCTTCTAGCAAAGGATTTTGAATTCTGGAGTGCTAAATATAAACACAATACGTAGGAGATTTAATTTACTTTTATGTGCCATGTTTATTCAAACATTGAAAAGAATGATATCATGAGATAACGAACTTTGGATTGCATAGGGCTCATTTACACAACACAATTATAGCCATATCCCACTTGGACTGCCATGGCAACATCATGTGGATTGGTAGTTTAAGGAAGAGCACTTAGAATTCTCAGCTAAGAGAATCTCCCAGGATTCCATAGAAGGAAACAATGGCAATTAAAGCAGAATCATAGAGCTATATTTATTTAGTGTGAAGAGACCCCTAGCTATATAAATTGAAGAAAACATAGTATATGCTGCTGCTGGTCAAAAACATTTTCTCCAACTAGGATTCCAGGATAAGCCTCAGTTTTTGTAAACAGTATATCTCCCTTAGGCCCATTTCCTGAGCAATGATTAGCTAGCTCTAACCAGGCCTCCCCATCTTATTCCTTCACATTTGATTTATGCCATCTAACCTAGAATTATGATCCTGGGTTGGCAGCTGCATTTAGGACTGAAACAGCAGACTGAATTTGAGTCCAGAACTGCAGTCATTTGTTCTACTACTGAATGATGGACCACATTAGGCAGGACCTTCCATGCATAACATAAGAAT